CGCCACCAGCTCGATTCGTGGCGACACAAGCTTATTCACTGTGTAGGTGAGGGACGGCGGCGCGGCGGGGAGGCCGGGCCGGGCCCCGCGGCGGCAGGAGGCTCCGCCGGAGGGGGGGTCCTGCCCTGCCCTTTTGTGCGGCCCCTGTCAGCGCCGCGCCCGCTCCTCCCCGCTCGGCACGGCCCGGCCCGGCCGCGGCCCCTTCAAACTTGTTTACGGCGGGGCCGCGCCCGGCGGCGGGGAGCGGCCCGCCTGTCAGTGGCTAGGGGCTAGCCCGGGCCGGCCCGCCTGCCCCCGGCCCGGCGAGGCGGGAGGGAGCGAGGCCGCGGAGCCGGCGGGAGGAGCGGCGGGGGAGGCGGAAAGTTGTGGATCGCGGTGCCGGATTGACGCCGTGAATCCGGAGCGGGGCCGCGGGGTTAAAAGGATGTGTGATTGCTTCTCTGTTCTCCCCCCCACCTCCTTTCCCCCCACCCTCCCTTTGCGCGTTTCTTGTTGGGTAGGCTTATTGCAATCGAATGTCTGAGGTTTTGAAAAAGAAGTCCCTTTCATCTCGAGTAACTTTTTCCATTCAAAATACAGATTTTGCCCTTTTTTCTTTCCCTGGTAAGAAATTGAGACCTTTTCTATGGGTCCCAACATTCACATAAACGTCAGCTCGAGGCCAGTAATTCAGTGTATGTCTCCAAAGAAAAAAGGTTTGAGAGCAGTATACTGTGAACTTGCAGAGTAATCTTAAAAATCCCTGTCTGGAACATCGGTGTGTTTCATCTTGTTTGGGCTTTGTTTCTAATTGAGCACAAATCCTCGCTTTATTTTTAAATATGCAAATATGGCCATAATCTGCCAGTGACTGCTCAGCATAGGTAATCTGTAATAACAGTCACAGATTCACTTAGTTCCTTGGGTGCAGAGTTAAACCTCTTATTGTCAGTTAGCTCAGCATCCCAGTTCATTATCAGGGATTTGAAACACCGTTTTTGGTTACACCAGAATATGTAACTGCTGTGTATGATTTTGGCCTCATCTAAATGTTTAAACTTCTGTAATATAAAAGTGTGCTCTAGATGCTTGTTAACTTCAGATTAATTCAAGCAATTAATTTGTTTTATGCATAAAGCTACTGGTGGGCAATATGTTACTGAGAAACTCACACTACATAAAAGTGTTGGGTTTTCTTCCAACGAATAATTGATGTTTGTAGATTCAGTTTGTGGGATTTTATTTTAATTGTATCTCTGCTACATTTTATTCTACTTCTACTTGAATCAGTTTTATTTTACTTCTGTCTCCTTTTCTCAATTCCTCTTACCTCAAGCTGCTGGGGTTCAGCTGTTCTAGTCCTCTCTAAACTCCCTATTTGCAGCATGTCATCTTGTCTTCCTCTCAGTCCCTGCTGCTCTAGCATCGGCTCCTTGAATCCTCCAGTGGAGCTGTCCTACTGCTCGGAGTTTAACTAGATAGATAGCTGTGAGGAGTAAATTCAGAGGGAAGAAAAAAAAGCCAAAAAAAGACAGTTTTGAAGCTGCTATTGAAGATATTGTGTTGGAATGAAATGCAAGACTTGTCTCTGTTCATTGTGCTGCTCTTTGGGAAAATCCTGGGTAGCTAGAGAAATTTAGGTCTACAGACTCAAAGAAAGTACTACATTATTGAAGTTCTTAGCAACCCTAAGCGCTAAAACTTAAAACAAATACCCCGTTTCCACCCTCATTAATACACACTCTGTTCCATTTCCCTAAAGCCATTTAAATTGCCAACTTCTGGTGAAATTGCTTCTTCCCCTTGTCCCTTGCATATCGCTTCCTCATACCTAAATTTGATACGTTTTCTTCCTCCAAAAGATTTCTCTCTCTGAAAGTCCCTCTGTGTGTGTTTAACAAAGGATACTGAGAAGTCTTTTAAGCACAGAATTCACTGGGGTTTTTTTGGAGGTTAAGTACAATACCATTTAAAAAAATAAAGTCCAAAGTGTAACAGTGCTCTGTGGCTTTTATCTTGATGGCACTGTGTCGTAAATAGTTTCAGCTTCAAATTGATCAGCTTTATGAGGTTTCAGGACCTCCCTCGTTCGTAGTATGAATCTTGCATAAATCGTTGAGTCATGTAAATGTGTTACCTTTTTCGTTTTCATATTTTAATAAAATTATAAAAGGTTTCTTGCACTTGCCCGTGATCTCTAGCTGAAATTATGTTGTGATCTTAACCCCTTGCTCTAAATGTACCTCTGTCATCTTTTAAGTGCATTTTGACAATATTCCATGAGATTTGGAAGTAGTCTGTTAAATGATATATTGTTCTGATTCACCTTGGCTGTTTGTAGAAGTCTTTGAGAATATTTTCCTGTAATAAACACTCTGCTTTCCAATATTTATGTATCAGTATGAGAAAAATCTTTCTTGTAATAATCAGAAATATTCATTCATATTTAGTTCTGAAAGTAAATGAGGTGTGTGGGATTTTCTGTGTTAGCATCATTCCCTGAAAAGTCATTCTAATACCACACCATGTGGCATTCAGAAAAAATACACCTGTGGTTTGAACTAGTGGATTTGGCAATAAAAATGGCTTAAGTAATTCACTTTCCCCTCTTGTTTCTTGCTTCTGCAGTTGGCCGTTCCTTTGGACTGTGGGTTCATGGCAATTTCTCAAACTAAGCCTGTGCTCTTAAGGGAGCAAAACCACAGAGGCACTGACAGACCACCTGCCCACAAGGAGCCAATTCAGGGGAGCTGTCCTAGCAGAAAACGTCTTTTGGAGGGAGTACAATAATTTTCTGCTGGTATAACTCCCTGAACTGGCTGGCAGGTCAAGCAAATACCAGCGCTAGCACAAGGAAGGGTGTGAGAATGCAAAGCTGTTGGAAAGGAAAAGAGTGAGAGCAAGGCAGCAGAGATACAGATAAGCTTTGATCTGTCAGGGAGTTGCATCTTTGGCTGTCCCAGTGTAGCTTTTTTTGGGAGATAGCTCAGGGAGCTGATCTGGCTGAAACCTTGCTTCATTGTCGTGCATTTCATCCCCTTTTTGTGAGGAGGGAGATGGTGAGGCTGGTGGAGCATAGGTCTGTGAGCAGTTCTGTTGATCAGTGATGAAATTAAGGGAGCAGCATCCATGGCCTGGAGGTGGAAGGAAGTGTGGAGAAGGGGTGTCTAAGCTCTTAGTGTGTTGTAATGGGATTGTGGAACCGCGGCAGGGGTAGCTGGGTCTGGCGCCTGGATCTTGGTGGCTTGGTAGGATTTTGTAGAGACACTGTTGCCAGATGATAACTATTTGATGCTGACATATGTGTTCTCTGTAGCAGTCTGGAGTGTTAACATCTTTTTCAGTGGTCAAAAGCAGATAGCTAGACACAAAGGCATGCGGTGATTTTGTTTTTCCTTCTCCTTTCTCTCTCTAATCATCTTGTGTTCAGACACTTGCTGAATTTGAAATGGTTGATGAGATTGGATCTGCTGAGGAATGGGGAGTTTGAGGAAGGAAATAACCCACAGATCCCTGAAACCCTCCTGACACCTTTTATAGAGGCAGTTAATAGCATGGCAGTGCTGCGTGATCACTGGAGTAGCGTGAGGTGATCACATGCATTTCTTCTAGCTGGTGATGCTTGGCCCTTTGTTAAATATTAGCTGTACTCTTGGAGACTCCCTGACTGAATTATGGTCTGTGTTGGGGGTGTGGGGGCAGGGAGGGAATGGTTCACTACTCTTCAGCAGTGTTTTGGGAACAAAATGAGGATTTCAAGGAAAAACCTGTAACATTCTCATAAGATTTCCAATCATCTTGAGCTCTGCCAGTGTTTCATTGAAATGCTGCTTAGCTGTTATGCTGTCAAATTAAACTGAAGTAATTTCCTTTTTTTTTTTTTTTTAAGTTATTGTTGCTGATTAAATACTGCAACCTAAGTACATGATCTCTTTCTGTTTCGTTCGTTGTATGATGGTGGTCTTCCGTAACCTTGGATACTTAGGATTAAAGTGTGGATTCTGAGAAAGAAATATGATACATCAGGAAGTGTTAAAATGTAATAATAATCAAGAGAAGGTGTATAGCAGTTGAATAATTCTGAAATCTTTATTACTTTTCTTATCTTGATTATGGCTCCTGTATAGCTCCAGCCTGTGTGTGATATGAATTAGCTGCTGCTTTCAAACAGTTAGCTATGTTATCTGGTTTTGGAAGTAGGCTCGAGTCTCCAAGTGTTTAACGTAGTTCTAGTTCAAAGGTCAGATTGTATTTCTTTGTTCCAAATTGAGAAAGCTTATTATAGCTGTGATGTTGGTGAAAAATAATAATAATAAAAAGCAAGTTAAAGTTTAAATGTAGGGCTGTTCTATACTGGTATTTGTTTTAGATACACCCAAGCCCTGTCCCCAGAAAATGTGTGAGTGGTGCTGTTTGTGTTATCTCAGCCTGCTTGCACATAGCTGCAGCTTGTGGCTTCTTTATTAATATAAATCCATTTTACAGAAATTTTACAGTATGGTAGCTGAAGGCTCATTCAAGAATATCTGTTCTATGCTCCAGCATTTCTGCTTGTTGACAATATGAATAGAGGGAAGGAGAATTATCCTTTTATTTCAAAGTTACACCAGGAAAAGATTGAGGAAACTATTATTTAAAAATAAAAATCCTTAGTTGGAAGGAGTAAAATTTACAGTTTGATTTTTAGCTTTACTTTAAATGTGAGTGGAAGGTTGTGTCTGAAGAACAGTAGAAGTTGAACTTCGGGGGATGAATCTAGAATCTAGATCTGTTCCAAATACGTCTTTGAATTCACTACAAATCGCTCTGGATTTGTCCTTGTTTCCCTGCTTGTTCATGAAGAATAACTCCTGTCCTTTCAGGGACCATGTCAACTAATCAAAAGCATATTAAAAAAATTATTGATAATAACTTTGAGTTATACCATCTTGAGATCTTCTTCTGATGCCTGTGACATGAAATTTCAGTCTAGGCCTAATAATTTGGTTTTTTTCACATTTCAACAAAAAACGTATTTTAATTTGGATGAGGTAAAACAATCATTGCAAGGTGGGATGTTTCCTTCTT